ATCTCTCTGCATGCGCCTCTCTGTCTTGATGCACTTTTGGTTCTTCCATCCTAAACAAGCCTGTCTGCTTCCTCAGAAGAAACCTGTCTGCACAAGGCAATCCCAATCCCAAGTGTAACCCTGGGTCACTGGCTGGCCATGCACCCATTCACAAGAGGCACAGAGATGCACTGCTGATCCAGGCTGAGTTTGCTCCTCCATGAGCAGAGAGGATGTTTGCAGAGGCTGCCTCTCAGAGCAGAGCTGAGGCATCTTTGCAGTGTAAGACTTGGACAAGCCTTTTGTGGCCTTGGCCAGGCAGGTGTCCCAAGTAGGGTGAGGGTTTGTGGAACAAGGTGAAGCTTCTGAGCTCATCCAACTTCTTAGCATCAATAAGTGATTCACCAGTGATGCCAGTGGCCTGGGTCTGACTTAAGGAAAACGTTCCCAACATGAGACAAGAGTTCTCACATTTGAAACTCATTTTCTTACATAAAAGAAACACTGGAGATTTCTGCTGCATCTTCCCTGACCTGCCTCTATTGAGAATTTGTCCATGACTCAAATTCCCACACCTTCCCACGGCAGGGAATCTCCTCCCCTCTCCTTCTGCCTCTATCTGCCAACTGCTGTGACTTTTCCAACATCTCCTTGTCATTCCATCAGTTATTCTTCCTCCTGAAATTATTAGCGTCGTTTTTAGGTAGGGCTTCCCCCCAGCCTATTCAAAGCTCCCTGGATATGAGGTTTCCTTATTTGCCATCTTGCAGGGTGGATCAACTGTGGCTGCTTAAATTCTATGGTTTCAATCTTTGTCTATATACTGTGGATGGGGGGGAAAGGGAAGGGCTTCCCATCAGTTTTGTATTAAATCAATAACTTCTATTGAAAGGGAGCTTGCTCTGCAAGTGACCTGTTTGGATTTAAAGGCAGGAGAAAAGAAACATAAATGAGTGATGAAGCAAGGGGACAAAACTTGAACAAACAGCTTGGGGAACAGCTCACCTCTTGAAATATTCTTTGCCAAATCTTGGAAAGGGGATAAAATGTGCCATTATCTGCAGGGATCTGTCCACAAGCAGGGCTGTTCTGGGGCTGCATGCGAGGCTTGTGGCATACACTAGAGCCCTGCACAGCTCTGCATAACAATCGAGATGTGATATGTCTCTGGCTGGAGATCTGCATTGAGACCTTGTAAAGGGCAGGGACTGCTGGGCTCCCTCCTGTTGTGCCTGTTTTGCTGTGTCTGCAGGTAGACAAAGGCTTTGTCTGTGGTCTCTACCACCTCAGTCCAGGAAAACGAAGTTTGGAGCAAGGTCCGTGATAAGGACCAGGCGAAGTGCTAGAGCCAGGTTTCCATGGTGACCGTGGGATGCTGCGGGTGGGTTTGGTACCTTGCCTGGGCTCTGCAGCCCTGAGAAACACTCTGAGTTGTGGGGTGGAAGCATCTCTGAGTGCTGGTGAGGGCAGAGAATGTTTCCCAGCTTCTGTCTCACCGTTCAGCTGCCCTAGAAAGGGGAAAAGGGGTGAGATGTTCCTGCCTGGTGTCCTGGATATGGTGTGGAGAGATGCCCTGTGAAAGCCTCAGAGCTGAGGTCCTTCAGTTAAGGTCCTTCCTTACATCCTTGACTCAACCTCTTGATGCTTCCTGGGCCAGGGACCAAGATGGGAGGCTCCTCCCCTGCCCCAAAAATGTGTGCTTGGGAAGCAGTGATGGTACTCATGGGATGTAGGGGACTGGTAGTAAGCTGGGAGTGTGATGAGGCCATGGCATTTTAGGCACATGGAGCCCTGCTCGCCTCCGAGAAGTGACTGTGCAAAAGTGGCTCCTCCATCCCCAAGGAAGGGCAGACACACAAGGGCTGAGGGGGAATGATGGCATACAGAGGACCTGTCATGGGGGACAGAGGCCAGAGCACTGTTCTGGATAGCTTCATCTTATTTGCCTGCCTTACAAAACAAATTACCAGACCTGTTTTTGGAGATCTGTACCTATCTTTGAAGCATCCTTGGCCTTCATTTTATCATCCCAAACAGCATTAAATTCTTGCTGGGGAGGCATCTTATCAGGTATATCTACTTGGAAAGGCTTGAAAGGCTCTTGTCATGCTTTTCTTCATGTGTGCTTTGAATTTATAGCTCCCCATCGCCTGGAGAATCCTAGTGAGCTGGGAAGTATATTAGAGAAGGAGATGATGGCCCCTTCCCTAGCAGAGCTGATATAAATGTGGCTGTTACACCTGCGGCACAGCTCTCTCCTGCCAAGGTGCCTGCAGTCAGAGCAGGCACTGATTCATCGGCAGGACCAGCCCTGCTGCTTTGCAGGAGCTGGTTCCCTGGTACAATAAATCCTGCTTCAGTTGCAGGAGGTGGGGTAAGCCAGATCAGCACAAAGGGTTGGTACTGGAGGCAGAATCGGGTTCTCTTGGCTTCCAGGCTCAAAGCTGATCGGCTGATCCAGTGTCTTGGGATGAATCTGACTGCTCTGCCGTGTGCCAGCTTCCCCATGCTCACACTGAAAGGATGGCTTGACCTGGGAGGGGATGGAGCTGTCTCAGTCCGGATTTGCCTAGCATCAAACCATCCTCCCAAGGGTCAGCCAAGAGCAGCAAGATGCAGGAACAGCAGTTGTTGTGCTTCATGTCCAGGACAGCACTGCAGGGACAGGGACACTGCGTGGTGTGGGGGCAAGCAGAATCATAGGATCCCAGCCTGGTTTGTGTTGGGAGAGACCTTAAAGCTCATCCAGGTCCAACCCCTGCCATGGACAGGGACCCCTTCCACTAGAGCAGCTTGCTCCAAGCCCCTGTGTCCAACCTGCCCTTGAACACTGCCAGGGATGGGGCAGCCACAGCTTCTCTGGGCACCCTGTTCCAGCGCCTCAGCACCCTCCCAGGGAAGAGCTTCTGCCTAAGAGCTCATCTCAGTCTCCCCTCGGGCAGGTTAAAGCCCTTCCCCTTGGCCTATCACTACATGTCCTTGGAAGGTGACAGCCCTGCGTTGGCCACGGTGGGGTTTCCAAGCCAGCCGTGTGCATCACGGAGCTGCGCAGCCGGTCCTCTGCAGACAGGGCTGTGCCCTCGGAGGAGCAGCAAGCTTGGGCAGAGATGCTTAGCTGGTATAAAGGCTAGGAAAGAACTTGGCTCTGAAAGCACGGCAGCCTGCCACTTCCCGCTGTCCGAGAGGCATTGCATCAAGCGATCTCCACGCACAAGGAAAGCTGAATGCTTTTGACAGCTCGCCATGCAGACTCCCCACGGACACTGCAAGCCAAGCCGGCTTTCTCACCGTCTCCCACGGTCCCCCAGTTGTAAGCGTGAAACCAAACTTGGTGAATAATTCTGCTGATGCACAGAAGAGAAAATCCTGTTCTCTCCTCCTGGGGCGGGCTGGCAGGGCTAATGGGAGGAAGAGGCTGTGACAACTTGATTTTGTGGCTGGAGTCAGCAGATCCGGCTCCTGGGACACATGGGAAGAGGCAGGGAGCAGGAGCCACTTTTGCACAGTCACTTCTCGGAGGCGAGCAGGGCTTCAAAGGCAGGATCCTGAGCAGGATGTCGCAACTTGGGAGGAGGAGGAGGAAAAAAAAAAAACAAAAAAAAAGAAAAACCAAGCAAACAAAAAAACCCACAAGCTCTCGTAGGGCTGGGAAATGCAGAGTCAAGGAGTGAGGTTTCCAAAAAGCCTTCGCTCAGTACTCGCATCTCTTGGTGCAGCAACGGGAGCCGACGCTGGTTAAAGCTCGGTGTGGTCAGCGGGTGCAAGCGTGAGTTTTTGCCTGCCCCATGAAGGGGACCTCCCTTCTCCATGGCAGGAGAAAGTCGCTCAAAGTGGGTGCCAGCAGCCACGGGAAGGAGGGACTCTCAGCTACGCACGTGCTGGCACGGGCACAGAGAGTTGTAGAGGGCCTTGGGCTGCCCAACAGCCTGGCTGAGCCAGTGGATAAGCTGACTGAGTCTATCCTAAGCTCCCTCTGGGATCCAGAGGCTGGGGCAGAAGGATGGACCTGGGAAACGGGCAAGCATGGGCACACGCAGAGGGCAGTGGGTTGGGTGATTGCAATGTGCCACAGGGACCATCGTGCCCATGAGCTCGGTGAGGAGGTGCCAAGAGCTTGCAAGACGCGTGCCCCAAAAGGATGAGGTCCCTCATGCCCCTAATGCTGACACCGAGGAGCAGCTCTGTGCCAACTTCTGCTGAGGATGGGGCTATGGGGAGCAGAGCATGTGGTCACCTCCACACAGGGCCAGTCTTTTCCAGGTCCACAAAGACCTCACGGTCCCATCCACAAGCTGGGCTGGTGGAGGAGGTGCCCAGCGTGTGCAGTTTTGCCTATGGCAGGCTCCTGATTCTGTCCTCCCTGCTTCAAGCCCTGTTCGAATTCCAAGTGATGGGAAACCTGGCAGCTCCCAGAGGCCATCCTTGCCTGCTGGGGGGTTGGGGGAGCTAAAAGCAGGCTCCAGGAGGGAAGTGGTTTGGAGGGCGATGCTCGTCGGTGATGAGCACACACCACGCTGCGGGAGCAGTGTGGCAGCTGGAGCTGGCAGCCGAGCACCCGTCTTGCTTGTTTTGGCTGACTTCAGAGACCTCTGGCTTTTCCTAGTAGCACTTGGATGTGCCGGTACTCAGGAGACCTGACCGGGCACATTCAGACAACGCCGAAAATATCTTCCTTGCAGGCAATAGAGGCAAAGGGGAGCCAGCAGCTGAGAGACAGGGGACCAGGCTGCAGAGGGATGGTTGTTTTCCTTGGGCTTGCTCTCTGCCAGCCAAAAATGCATCGTGTGGAGCTGCAGGAGTGGTAGGTTTAAGACGGACACCAGGTCTCAGCTATGGAGGGGGTGAGAGGTTAGGACCCCTTTTTGCAGTGCAGGGTATCCCAGATCATAGAATCACAGAATGGAAAGGACCTTAAGATTCCAACCCCTCGCCATAGGCAGGGACACCTCACACTAGACCGTGTCACCCAAGGCCTTCATCTCCCAACCCTTTCCTCCTAACCAGTCACGCTGTCGCGGCAGGTACCTGGCGAAGCTGTCTTCGGTGGGGAGCATCTCCGAGGAGGAGACCTGCGAGAAGCTGAAGGGCTTGATCCAGCGCCAGGTACAGATGTGCAAGAGGAACCTGGAGGTGATGGACTCGGTGCGGCGCGGAGCCCAGCTGGCCATCGAGGAGTGCCAGTACCAGTTCCGCAACCGCCGCTGGAACTGCTCCACACTGGATACCCTGCCTGTCTTTGGCAAGGTGGTAACGCAAGGTGAGCCAGAGGACACGTGCCTGGGGCGATGCTGCATGGCAGCAATGGCTACAGCAGCGGTCCGGAGGGATGCAGGAGGGTTTTCCTTGCATGCTGCTGAGCCAGAAGAGAGGTAGAGTAGGGAATGCGGCAGTGCTGGATTGTGGGGCTGATGGCTCTTCCCTGGGTATTTCAGCAGGGCTCTTTTTGCTGTGCTGGGGACAGCAAATCCGGGCCCTTGCAGTTCTTCTGCTGCTGGGTGCTTCTCTCCTGAACCTTTTCCACACCAGCGGGTACCCACGGCATGAAGGGGCCAGCACAGGGCATCCACAGAGCCTGGACCTCTTACACGGACGTGCCAAGTTCAAGTCTCCCTGCAGTCTCACCTCTTCCCCCCGAGCCCAGGAGCTTTGCTCTGCAGAGCAATGGCTGCATTTATTTTGCCTCTTCCCCTGGCAGCGCTGAAGCAATGATGAGGGCCAGACCAGAGCCAAGCATCCCAAGGTTTCACCTTGGGAGGACAGCCCTCTGCCACCCGAGGCGAGTAAAACACAAGGTGGCTGGACCCTCTGAGGGCAGCAGCATCATCACCCACCACCACCCACCACCCATTGCCAGCCTTCAGGGGAGTTTGTGCCCAGGGCAGCCCCCAGCCCCTCTATTCCCAACTGCTGTCCCAGTGGCACAGGGCTGCGATTGACCCACCAAGCACCCAGAGCATCAGGGTGAGGATGTGGAGGGCACAAAAGCGGCCCTTGCCTCCCTTTGGGTGCCATCTCTGGTACACCCATCACAGCACCCTTAGGCCAAAGCCTCCCCCCAGCTCCTTGTTTGACTTCCCTCCCCTCAACGCAGGGGTGAAGATCTCTTCTTGTGAAGGTTCAGGGACTGGAAATACCAGAAATACCAGAAACTAAAAGTCGCCTCTTTTTTAGGCAGCCGCAGCACAAACCGACCAACACGATCCTACTATTAACCTCGATTAACTTGGAGGCGGCTCAGTCCCCCCACAGCCACTGCCACCAGAGTACAGCTCGGCCACCGAAGTCTGGGCTGCGACCACCAAAGTAGTTGCCCTCTGTCCAACCAGCAAGCCAGGGTGATGTCTGCTGGCAAGACATCCCCTCCTCTGCCCCAAGCATGGGACTACCCCAAAAGCCAACCCTCCTTCCTTGGAGATGGAGGGGCTGTGTCCTCAACCGGCCTCGGAGGATGGTAGGGATTTGGGTGTTGCAAGAGCTGATCCATGGTTATGCTCAGGGATGTCCCCTGGCTTCCCAGACAAGCTGCTCTTAACCGTGGGGCACCACATAGGTAGATGCAAAAGCTGGGCAGGGGTTGCACCCTGGGGACCGGTGCGGTTCTGCACTGCTGTGCAGTGTGGGGTTGTGCAGGGTGGTTTGGGAGGCGCTGGGTGCTCCAGGAGCCTGTGTGAGAGGATGGCAAAGATCTGCAGCTGCGATGTTCCTGGAGGCGGAAAGCAGCCAAGTATTGTGGATGCAGGAGGGATTTCATGGTAGAAGTGCCCTGCAAGCATCAGGCAAGATGGTCTCTCCATATAAGCTCTGGAGAGATCTCGCCCTGGTGGAAATAGAACCTTTGCATCTCTCTCATTCCCAGGTTACGATTTGCCCGTCTCATTCTTGTTTTCAAGCTTGTGGGCAGCTCCCGGCTCCTTCACTATTGCAAAGCAGAGCTCTCATGGCTGCAAATGATGTCTCAGGGCTGAGGTGACTGTGCTGAGACTGGTCCAGGCTTGGCACTAAGCAAACAGCATCCCTGCGAGTGGGAAGGAGGAGTGTCCCGCACGGGGTACCCCACCTTGGGAGGAAGAGATGGAGCAAAAGGCTTCACTTGATAGCATGATGTGCAACACCAGTGCTGGGAGGGAAGAGGAGCAGAGGCACAGAGGAACCTTTGGCCACGGGGCTGCGCACCCCAAGAGGAGCCCTTTTTGCATGCCTTGGACTTGCTGCCCTGTTTCCCACCGTGGTTTTGTGCCTTGCAGGGACACGGGAGGCAGCGTTCGTCTATGCCATCTCTTCGGCAGGGGTGGCCTTCGCAGTGACCCGCGCCTGCAGCAGCGGCGAGCTGGACAAGTGTGGATGTGACCGCACGGTGCAGGGGGGCAGCCCGCAGGGTAAGTGAGCAACGGGGGGCAGCTGAGCTGGGGTGCGGAGTAGCCAAGCATGGAAATGCCAAGCCCTGGAGCAGCCAGACAGGAGGAGAATGTAAAACACATGGAGAAGAGAAGGACCTGGGGCTGAGAGAGCTGGGCTGGGGCAGCCTGGAGAAGAGAAGGCTCCTGAAGGGGAGACCTGAGAGCAGCTCCAGTGCCTGAAGGGGCTGCAGGAAAGCTGGAGAGGGGCTTGGGACAAGGGATGGAGGGACAGGCCAAGGGGAATGGCTTTAACCTGCCCGAGGGGAGACTGAGATGAGCTCTTAGGCAGAAGCTCTTCCCTGTGAGGGTGCTGAGGCACTGGCACAGGGTGCCCAGAGAAGCTGTGGCTGCCCCATCCCTGGCAGTGTTCAAGGCCAGGTTGGACACAGGGGCTTGGAGCAAGCTGCTCTAGTGGAAGGGGTCCCTGCCCGTGGCAGGGGTTGGAGCTGGATGAGCTTTAAGGTCCCTTCCAACCATTCTATGAGTCTATGAAGCTCCTGTTAGTCCAAGTGAGTTAATCAAAAACGCACTTGGGAGCATGGCCCATGGGGCAGAGGAAGCATTTTGTTTGTGTGTCCCCTGGGGCCACATTCCTCATCTTCCCCAATACCCTTGGGCAGCCCAGCTTTGTGGGTAGCAAGGCAGAAGAGGGGCAGGTCAGCTGTGTTTTCGGAAGAGCGAGGCTAGAGGGGGCTGGCTGTATCCATCTCATCCATGCTCTCTGCCTTAGGCTTCCAGTGGTCGGGCTGCTCTGATAACATCGCCTACGGCGTGGCCTTCTCACAGTCCTTCGTCGACGTCCGCGAGAGGAGCAAAGGGGCCTCTTCCAACAGAGCCTTGATGAACCTGCACAACAACGAGGCAGGCAGGAAGGTAATGGCCAGGAGGGAACCTGGGCAGCCAGTGCAGCTCTGCAGCCACCATTTTGGCTTCCTTTAACCCCATCATCTCACGCGCATCAGCATCACACTCCACATACCCCTTCCGGACCCTGCGCGCCGTGCCCTTCTTGCTGTGTCCCATCCCCTCTCGCTTCTTGTGCCTTGTGCTGCAGGCGATCCTGAACAACATGCGGGTGGAGTGCAAGTGCCACGGCGTGTCCGGCTCCTGCGAGTTCAAGACGTGCTGGAAAGCCATGCCCCCCTTCCGCAAAGTGGGCAACGTCCTGAAGGAGAAATTCGACGGTGCCACGGAGGTCGAGCAGAGCGAGATCGGATCCACCAAAGTGCTGGTGCCCAAAAACTCCCAGTTCAAGCCGCACACGGACGAGGACCTCGTCTACCTGGACTCCAGTCCCGACTTCTGTGACCACGACCTCAAGAACGGCGTGCTGGGTACCAGCGGCCGGCAGTGCAACAAGACCTCCAAGGCGATCGATGGCTGCGAGCTGATGTGCTGCGGCCGGGGCTTTCATACGGACGAGGTGGAGGTTGTGGAAAGGTGCAGCTGCAAATTCCACTGGTGCTGCTCCGTCAAGTGCAAACCCTGCCATCGGGTGGTGGAAATCCATACGTGCCGGTGATGCACGGCGGGGAGCGCCCTGCTTCTCCCTTGCCCCACGGCCAGGACTGAGGAAGGAACCCAGACGCTGCAGGGAGAGCGCAGCTCTTCACAGAGACAGAGCCCCAGAGGAAAACAGATTTTAAAGGAAAAAAAATATTTAAAGTTTCAAAAAAACTGAGCATTCTTGGCTTCTTTTTGATGATGTTCTGTTCGCTTGCTTTAGTCATTGCTGAAGCCAGAGCCCCTTGGTGCCCTGCGCCAGCAGGGATGCATCTGCGCTCAGTGGCTGGCTGGGGACCTGCGTGATGCTGCTCTCATCAGACGTGCTCCTGCTGACTCGGGAGCGCTGCAGACAGGAGGTGTTTAAGCCGGGGCTGGCGTTGGGTGCTCGGGTATCTTCTGCTGCAGTTGTTTTTGTGTCTTTAAGCAACCCAGGGCGCTGCTGGCCTTGGCTGAGCCTGGGGAGGGGATGGAGCTCAGCCAGCGCCTGCAGCCCTGCATAGGATGAGCAGATGGTGACAGGGTGGCACTGTCCCCAGGAGGCAAAGCTCAGTGCAGGGTGATCCCCATGAAGGGGATGCAGGGCATTCCTGCATCCCCCTGTTGCAGGATGCTCCATGGCCTGCTGGGCGTTGGATGGATTTGGAGCAGCTCCAGTGGTCGCTCTGATTTACAGTGACCTCAGCAGCTGCCCAGGGCGATCGGAGGACGCAGTGTTCCCACCATGCTCTCCTTCCCCTTGCAAGCCCCTTTCTCCTCTCACTTCTCAGCATCTTGTTCAGCTGGAGACTGCGAAGAGGATGCAGAGAGGCCATAAAATCATAGAAACAACCAGGCTGGAAAAGATCTTTAAGCTCATCCAGTCCAATCGTTGCCCCAGCACAGCCAAGGCCACCACTAACCCATGGCACTGAGGGCCTTGTCTACATGGTTTGTGAACACTTCCATGGACAGTGATCCACCATCCATGGGAAGCATGTTCCAATCCCTGACCACCCTTCTGGGGAAGAAATTCTTCCTAACGTGCAATCCAGTGACTCTTATTGGAGCTGGGAGCCGATGGGAGGAAATCCCAGGGGATTTCTTTGCCTCTGTCCCATAATTGCTCCCACCAGCATCCCACACCCAGGTCTCCCCTTCCGGCTCCACATGCCTGTTATCCACACCTGGTGAGGGCTCTGGGAATGGTTCCCATCCTGTTGGCTGCTGAGGAAAGCAAAAGCATGAAGTGGAGCAGTTGTTTGGGGTGAGGGAAAGATGCTGCTGGGGGGGAAATGCAACACTCGTGCTCTGCCAACACCTCTGCCTTGCCCTCGGGAAGCACGAGAGGGCTGAGCAGGAGGGATGCTCCTGTGTGTGCCCGGACCGCTGGGATTCAGTGCAGCAGGGCCCCATCTGCCCCGTCCCGCTCCCACAGGCTGGCCTGGAGCGATGCCATGAGGATAACGCGCTGTCCTACCCGCTCTGGCTTCCCTTCTGCCTGGGATCGGGTTAGTGCAGAGCCCGTGCTGCAGGACGAAATATTTGGAGAACTAATAAGCAGAGGGGCACTGCGAGGGGAGGAGGAAGCAGACCGGTTCCTCCATCCCTCACCCGCTTTCCTGTGAGCCGAGAGGAAAAAGGGGCTCAAAACTTGGGGACGGCACCTCGAGGCAATAGGAACATCAGGCGAGGAGTCAGCAATGGGGTGGCATTGCCGAGCCCTCCCTACGCGGTCCCGAAGAGCCCGGCGCTGCGACCGTCGCCCTTTGGGCTGGAGGAGGAGGTTCCTGCAAACCTGAGGTCTTGTTTTTCTTCCTTGCTTCATCTCGAGAGGGGAAAGGTTGGGGGGAACGCGCAGACATGCGTTAAATCCCGTCTGTGCCGTGGCAGTGATGGGCCGGGGGAGAGCCTGTGGTCGCTGGAAGGTCTCCAGACACCATCCGGCTGGAAGGCTGCTGACAACTGACTTGAAGCAGCGCAGGGCGAGGGAGGGTTGCAGTGAGGCATCCCCCTCAGCGCTGCCTCCCTCCTGCCTGCTCAGCCCCACATCCAAACCCCTCAGCAAAGGGTGCCCGGTGGCGGGGTGGCACCGAGATGAGCCACATGGGTTGATCCATCCCAATGGAAAACAGAGGGCTCCCCACCACAGCAGCCGTTGCCTCTCTCCATGGCTTGGTTGCTCAAGGATGCAGCATTAAATCCTCGGGGGGACAGGGGGGATCCAAGCTTTGCTCCATCTCTTTAGTCCCCCCAAGGCTGCAAGTTCTCAAGTACCTTGGAGGCTGTTCCTCCTCTTCCCAGCTCATGCAGAGGAGGTCACAGCCCTCAGGCCACTGGCCAAGTTTTCTGCTCATTGTCCATCTAGGATGAGGGCCAAAGCTGAACAAGACAATCCAGATCAGCGCGGAGATAATCTCTGCGTATGGGATGTTTTCAAGCTGTGATGAAAGCTGAGCCCTTGCAAATGTCACCCGGAGATACCCCGGCTCCCAGCGCTCTGGCTCTTCTCACAACTGTAAATTTCAGCACCAGAAGGGGGTGGGAAATGCTTTTTTTCTTCTCTCCATATTTACTTTGTCCATTAAATAACGAGTTTGTGCTGAATGAGCCATGGGGTTTTCTTCTCCTGGCAATCAGGCTCTGCTGGGCTGCCTAAAACCAGCCCGTGCTGCAAACACCTCATCTCATTGTGGGTCTCTTCCAGAGAGTCCTTAGTTAGGAGGAGAGGTGTCCACGTGGTGCCTTTTAACAGTGTGAAAGGGACACTGAGGCTGTCCTGCTCCCTCCTCCTGGTACACAGATGCTGGTGTCTGGTCCACAGGCTGCATCCCTGCTTTCCCTTCATTGAAGAAGGAGATTGCTCACTCATCTTCTGCTCAGCCACTCAGCACATCACTGGATTGGGAGCCCACTTACCTTAGACCTCAGGAAGTCTGAGACTTCCTCCTGTCCAGAGGGCACTGATATTCATCTGCTTAAGACAATGCACCCCTCCACTGCCCATAGCCAAGGGGGCACAGCTGCTAGGTGTGCTGCTGGAAGCATCTTGCCCATGGTCTCAAGGTGTCTTTGGGCTGGGAGGGGGCAAGATGTAGATGCAGAGTCAGGGCCCTGCCACCTCTTGACTCCATCCCTGTGATGTGGGTGCTGGATTTGCAGGGGATGTGGTGCCAGACCATAGAATCCCAGTCTGGGATCATAGAATCCCAGAGCCTCAGCACCCTCCCAGGGAAGAGCTTGTGCCTAAGAGCTCATCTCAGTCTCCCCTCTGGCAGGTTAAAGCCATTCCCCTTGGCCTGTCCCTACAGACCCTTGTCCAAAGCCCCTCTCCAGGTTTCTTGTAGCCCCTTTAGGCACTGGAGATGCTCTAAGGTCTCCCTGGAGCCAGCATCCTGAAGATGCCCAGCACACTCCCAGCTGCCCCCAGCCAATGCATTTCACTTGTCCTTTGTCCTTACTGAAGCCAGGGACACTCAGCTGCATCCTTCTCACACTGCTCCTTATGGTCTGGCTCTGCTCACTCCAGCATGGGCTGCTGCTGGGTCTGCCTGCACTAACACTCTACCTCGTGTCCTTTCTCTAGTTGTAGCTCTCGAAGTTCACCTTCCCATAGGGTTCCTGGTAAAGCCAGTGGCTTCTCTCACTTTGGCCTCCATGGGTGGCAGGCCCTTAGGACTATGTTTAAGTTTAACCATTTCTGCAGAAACAGGATGGGACAAAATGAGCCCCAAGCCTCCCAAAACCCCTTCCTTCAAATGGCTCCTCTCTTCCCGCAGTGGATCCCACCCCACAACCTCCCAGCTCCATCCCTCCCCACTCCAGCATCAGCCCCCAGGTAAAGGACTGTCTCCTCTCCCCATACCACCTCTCCCAGCGTGGTGGTGGAACTGCACCTGCTTCACCCTGATGTGGAAACAAGGTGCAAGCAGATGGCAGCTTCTCTCCAACCATGGATGGAGCAGTTCATGTCCTCCTTGTCCCCCAGTGCTCCCACCCACTCAGCCGGTCCCCGACATCCCCCATACATCCGATAACACCCGCACCACCGCCTCCCTCCCACCGTGAGCCCCACAGCCTCAGCCCTTGGTCCTCGGCCCCCTTGACACCCTGTCCCTGGTGAGCTCATCTCTCCCCTGAGGCCTCCCAAGCTGACACCTCCACCCAGCCTCTCCCACTCATAAACCTTCCTGGATGTCCCACTGCCAACTCGAGATCATCATGGCAAAAACAGGACATCCCTTCCAAGCCCTCCCCACCCTGCTCCACCGGATGGATAAACTCCATCCTTTTCTCCCATTCCCCAACCTCCCCACTTCACCACCATCTTCCTCTCTTTCTTTCCTCCTGGAAAACCCACCCCGTGTCTCACGTACCTTCAACTTCAGCTCCTCCACGGTCTGGGTTTCACGTCTGCCAGCTCTGCACCCTCTGGTCTGAGCCCAACATGGCCGAGCGCATGGGCAGAGCTGATATTTGTCGCCAGCTGTTTTGGCCACATCACCCTCATGCCCTTTACTGGCCATCAACACTGTCATCACTCCCAACTATCTCATCCTCCCTTCCTGGGCATGCTCAGCCTCACCCGCCACCCTCCTCACAAAGCAATTAGATCCCCATGGGTGGCATTAACAGTGCTCACGCAGGGCAGGAATTAACGCACGCATCCTTTCCCTCCCTGACACGTCAGCGAACGTAACAGCAAATCCCTTTGCATGTTCCTGCAGTGGCAACGGGGGTAATTTCCCTGTATCTCCTGTTCTCCCTTTGAATTTACCAGCTGGATGTAGGGAAGCCAAGTGATGGAGACAGCAGGAAACCAGAGCTTAGGACCACCAAGAAAAGATGCTTTAAGGATGGGATGGTGCCTCTCTGCATGGGCAGATGGCAGAAGAGGGCGTCCATGCTTTGGTTCATTAGCAATGAGCCACGCTTCCTTCCACATGGTTTGCTTTTGGAGCAAAAGGCAGGCTTGCTCCAAGCCCATCAGCAAACCTCCCTAGATGTGTGGTAATAGGGACAAGTGGGGAAGGAGCATGGAAGAGGACATCTTGCATACGTGAAAGCTGGCGTGATGGTGCTGCGTCTCTTCTGTTCCATCAAAGCCCAGAGAAGAAAGACACAAGGTCTGATGGATGGCAAGCAGGATGAACAACTAACCAACAGAGCAAAAGAAGGAACAAAACACAACACACACAACACACTTGGAGATGAACATGAGGAAAGGCAGAACAGCCAAAGGGAAGCAGCAGTGGAAGCCCTGCAGATAGCTCACTTGGGACTTGACCTGGTGTAAGTGCTCTGCTTTCTGTGGCCAGCTGGAAAATCTGCAGCCGTTTCATTTCCACCAAGAAACCCAGAACATCTGGGAGGGCCCCAGAGCTCAATGAGATGCAAAATAAATCAGGCCTTTGTGTCTTTATTTCTCAATAAAGCCACTTGGCCACCTCCATTCTCCAAGTGGCACAGCTAGGAGAAGTCAGGCCGACAAAGCGGAGTGCTGGGATGATGCTGCACCCTGGAGTCCTTGCTCTGGATTGCCTGCAGGTTCAGGAATCAATTACACTCTACTCTTGGGCTTTTTCCTCTTCTCTTGGTTAGAGAAGGCTGGTGTATACGGCAGTACCTGCAAGCCACACACAGGTTTGAACTCAATGCTGGTCTCCGCAATGAGCATCAAAGGCCCTCTCTGTTAAGAGAAGGCAGTCATTCAATAGGAGCTCATCTCCCAATACCATGGCCTTGACAGAGCTGCCAACCTAACAGCTT